CACATTCTCTCAAATGCATTGATTTTCTTCCTATCATTTTTCTTAACTGTCTACCTCTCACATCCATACTTGGTAATAAGGAATACAATGGCTTGTATGATTCTAACTTTTGTGCTGAGTTGTACATCTTTGCATTTTAGAATCTTTTCTAGTTCTTTCATGGCTGCCCTCCCCATTCTTAATCTTTTTCTGATTTCCTGACTGCAGTCCCCATTTCTATCAATGTTTGATCCCAGGCATGAGAATTATTTTACTATTTCTGTTTCTTCATTGTCTAGGTTGAACTTGTGAAGGTCCTCGGTGGTCATTATTTTTGTTTTCTTTATGTTTAACATTAAGCCTATCTTTGCACTTTCTTCTTTGATCTTCCTTAGTAGGTGTTCCAGGTCTCTGAGGTTTTCTGCTAGTACTATGTTGTCGTCTGCATATCTTAGATTGTTGATATTTATTTACTGTAACTTTTTAAAAACCAACCTGCACTTGTGCTGAAGTGGTTAGAAACAACATCTAGTAGCATATTACTGAGAAGCTCCTACTTCTAAAATCATTTCAAGTCAAACACTCATATTTTTTTAAAGTACATCTTTTCAGCATGTTACTCTCCCTCTTTTGTTGCCTGGATTTTAAAGCACAATATGTATGGCAAAATGTTATTGCAAAATATTAAATGCAACCAATACCGAGAGATGACCACTGGCCAACCTTTCATGGTCTTGCTAAGAACCCAAAGCCAAAATAAGACTATGTAGATTGTAGGTCAGAGGTAAGGAAATATTTTGTAGAAACAATTCCTCTTCTGAGTTCCCCAGTCTATATTTTTACTAAACTGTATAGCCACAGGTGGTTTTATTATTTATTAATTTAATTTGCATGCCAACTTTCTTCCAGGAAGGGCCCAAGGTGGCTCACATCTTGGTAGCTGAGATGGGCAAGGTCATCTCCATCATTCTCATCATGAAGGTATCTGAGACCTGTGTCAGGTTGGTGCCCTCATCCACCATTAAATTGCAGATGATTGTCGTTTTATTGTGGACCAACATGCTATTAAAGAGCACAACCGCTAAGCCAGAGAGTATACTGTCCATCTAAAGTACAGCATGAAGGAGATGATTTAAGAAGATTGTTCAGAGATATCTTTCTCTTCTATCCCTTGACCACTGTATTTGATACCTCTGAACACAATATTTATTTGTGTGGATGTACCGTAATTCATACAAAAAGATCCATAGTGGTTTGCGTGCTGGACTACGCTCTGGAGATCAGGGTTCAATTCCCCACTTGACTATGGAAACCCACTGGGTATCCTCTCTCAACCTCAGAGGAAAGCAATGGCAAACCCATTCTGAAGAAAGTTGCCAAGAAAACCCTGTGATAAGTTCCATCTTTGGGTCAATATAAGTAAAAAATTATTTGGAGGAACACAACAACAATTTGTACAAAGCGTTCTTGTGCAGGAGGGAAAATGCTGGGGGAAAAGTTCTAATCTAGGCTTCTCTTCAAGATCCTAGATTCTGTGTATAATAAAGATGGGGGAACATGTGACTCCAGATGTGCTCCAGCTGCCACTGCTATTAACCCCAGTCAGCATAGCCAATGGGAGTTGCAGTTCACCAGTGCCTAGAGGACAACATATTCCCCATTGTGTATAGGAATCTTTTTTGGTAGCAATTCTTCATGTATGCCAGCAACTGCAGTCCAAACTGAAATAGCTGGAGTGCAATGTATATCAGAGTGTAAATTCCAGAGCAGAGGTCTGGTTACCAGTTTCCATTGCTTCAGTCTGCTGAGCCAAATTTCATAGACAAATAATTTTGCACATGGTAACAATGAACATGTATTCATTTCCAGATATTTTGCAGTACAGGCAGCATTATGTATTGTTTTTGAGGCTTCAGCTCATGAAGAAGGTCAAAGTGCTGTTCAGTATTACCTTGAATGTTGAATGTTAAGTGATAAATGCTGTAGAAAAGATTCACCCAGAAACATGCTGAAATTTGTAGTGTTTATGCATCACCTTTGTTCAGTGTTTGTGGTTTATAAATAAATTTAAAATATAAATATTCTGCTCCATTCGTAGCTAACAGTTCAGAAACGGTGGTGGCACAATTATTAAATTACATATTCCTTTGTGGCATAAGAATTCCTTCTGTCACATTTCTGCAATAAACTCAGTCCAGAGATTAATTCCAACAGCCGCAGTGGAATTATGATATGTACTTGGATGCTAATGGGTTTTAGGACTGTTGAATACTGGCAGTGCTGAAATACTTTCCTGCTTTTTCATTCACCCTCTAACTCTACACTGTCCTTTATTTATAGTGAAGTGTGGAGAAATTAAGCATTTCAGGAACAGTGGGCGTGTAGGTCTTGGTAGGGTTATCAAATCCTATTAACATAAATTAGATTTACCAATTATGTTGATTTAATTTTATTACCCATTTTTATGCTGCTCTTGAAACAGTGATGTCAGATTTTAGGACAGGATTAAAAGATTATTCTGGTGAAAGATTAAACCAACAGCCAAGGAAGTTCAGCTCAAGAAGCTTTGCAGGACAGACCTTGCAAATCCCGAGAAACTGTTAGAAGATAAACTGCATTTCAAGACAAATAATTTACTGTTATTAAGGATAAAAATATACCCAAGTTTATTCCAAACAAAAACTTTCTTTCCAATTCTTTCTTTTTATCTTTATTTAATTATGGTAATAATTTGAATTCTAAGACCTGCTAATGAGATCTTATTCCCAGCTATCTCATTAAAAAAGGGAATGGCTAATTGGATGTCGGTGTGAATCTATTTCCAGTAGCCAAGGTTCTTAATCTTCCTGTGTCATTCAGAGCTTTTAACTGTACAGGATATTAAATGCCATTTTAATTTAAAGACACATACCGTAAGTGT